GCAACAGGAAGAAGAGGCCACACTGAGCCCAGAGCAGGCCTGGGGCACCGAGCTCCCCACAAAGTCCACCTGGATTCCCCACCCTGCATCCTTGCTCCGTCAGCTTTTCTTTGTATCTATTGCTGATGAACCTCTGCACCCTAATACACAGAGGAAATAAGAATTTAGACACTGTTACCAACAGCAGCAGGAAAACATCCTTCCAGAGGGCTCTTGCCATGCAGAGCCTTGGGCCAAAGCTCACCTGCTGCATCTTGCCTGCTGCACTGTCACAGCAGACAGTGACACCCATTGCCTCTCTTGAGAAGAGGAAACTGAGGCACGGGCCTGGAGTTCATTATTAGGCGAACCTGAAGACAGGCCCTTCAGTGTCATAGCTAAACCTCCCAGCTAAAGTGATAAGACCTGCAGTCTCCCTTGGAGGGGTCTCTGGATTCCAGCCACCTGTGCTTCAAGATCAAAATCATTCTGCCTCTCAGCAAAGAGACTATGCTTTGTGGAGGTGGAAACCAATCTCTGAAGCTTCAAAAGTATCAGCAGAAGCAGTGGATTTTAACTGGCTTCACGTTCCAGTTCTACGTGTAGTCACTGTGTGGCCTCAGGAGATGTGCTGTGCTTCTCTGGGCCCAAACAAAGCATGGATGAGAACAACCATCTCAGAAATGGTGGCTGTGAGTCAGCCTGCACAGTCCCTGACTTAGATACTGCCCTCCAGAATCGTTCTGTTGGAAGACAACTGGCCATGCCATCTTCTGAACAGAATAAAAACAATCAGACAGTGAATAAATAGATCTGATCACTGCCTGAGTGAGTATCCACAGTCTAGAAAGGAGAAGTATGGCACTCTGGTGCGCACAGGACGTGCAGGAGGCATTTCTCTGAACACAGCCGGGGCCCATATATCTCCTTCCCCTCCCCTCTGGCACGCAGAGGACTTGAATCCCGGCGATGTTCTCTCTCCTCCTCTCAGACTGTAGATAACCATCCTGCAGCCAGGCAATGCAAACAGCCGACGCCAGGGGGATTTCTTAGAGATAAAGAGGCTGAGACGCTGGCGGCCACTTGCTCAGCAGAGGACAATTGTGATAAAGGAGGGGAGACAGCAGTCAGTGACCTCTATGTTCACTATGTGACTGACTCTGAGACAGTGGAGCCACACTTCCTGTAACACCAATGCCACGAGGTTATTCCTCAGCAGAGTCCACTGCTACACTGCGCCACTGGATTCCAGGAAGGAAATTTCAGCCTCAGAATAATGCATTTCACTGAACAAAACATATGCCCAACCAAGATCCGATTTGTGATTTCCTCAGTTTCTAGTCCTGGGTGAACTCTCTGGCTTCTGTTATTTCTTCCTGAGTCACAGCAAGTAGGAAGAGTACAAGGAGCCCAAGACCTTCCACACACATGGTGTGAGTGTGGGGTGTCTGGGTCCAGGCTCACACTGCAGATGCATTCACCTGGGACTGGCTGTTCCTGCCAGCTGGACTCCAGGGCTGGCAATGATGTGCTTCTCTGGGCATTATCAGAAAAGCAATTCTAGCAAGAAGGGGAAACCATCAAACAGAGCAGTGACAGGTCTGGGCTTCCCTCCCTCATCTCTGAAAGCGATCACCTTGTAAGGTGGGAAAGGCAACAACAAAGCAAGCGCATCCTTATCCTGACTGCCAATGCCGATGCCCGGCTCTGAGAACCTGAGTCACCAGCCCAGGCCCATGGACCAAGGCCTCAAGGCCCACCCACTCCAAAGCAGCCGCTGTGCCAGCGAACAAACATAACTTACTCTTGGTCCACAGCTGGGGTCTGGCACAATGCTCGTCTATGCAGACGATGACAGACGAGAATAAAAATATTCAGTTCTGCTTCCCGTGGTCACCACACAGTGTCATCCCCACAGTCTCCACCAAAATGAGCTCAGTCCACCTTTGAAATATTCCAGAGCTTGAAGGTTTAAAGCAGGCCAAGCTGATTTTGTGGGCTTTTCCAAGCTTTGACACTGTAATTACACACAGGACTCTGTGCCACCAAATTCCTCCCAACTGAAACATTTCACATCTTTTTTAAGCAGGTTAGGTTTTTGGGTTTTTTTAGCACATGTTATGAAATAAGATATGAACTTATGCCCAGCCTTAGGCACATTTCTGCCAAAAGGTTGGACCAACACAAAATAAAAGTGACCTTTCTTTATTGAAAGCTCCATTAACACTATAAACCTAGCTTAAGATCAGGTCAGCTGAAATCACAGAGTGTGATTAACAAATCCTAAAAGGCTCAAAGGAAAAAATCAAAATAACTCAAGGAACACCAAAAGAAAATGATATTGATGGTCTTTCTGTTTCACCCTGCTTTCTCACATGTTTAACAAACAGCCTCTTTCTCCTGGGTATAGAGAGGCACATCTTCTTTTATTTATTTATTTATTTATTTATTTATTTATTGGTCTGTAACCTTTTTTTTTTTTTTTTTTTTTTTTTTTTGTACTGCAGATCAAACTCACCACCTCACACTTGCCAGGCAGGCGCTTATCCCACTGAGCTAAATTCTCAGCCCAGACAAATGCTCTTTTAAAGACAGTCCGAGATCAAGTGTGGGCTCTACTATGTTAGTGACTAAAATACTATTCAGTCTACAGTTAAATGAATCCACTAGAATACAACTTCATGGGCCATTTAACCTCACATATCTCAATTTGCTCACTTTTAAAGCAAATCCAAAGCACTCTGAAGATTTTCATAAGGATGAAATGAAGGAATGCAGTCTTTGGTGAGGTGAGAGCCTGGCAAGTAAAAAGTGCTCACAAAAGTCTGCTTGCTAATGTTGTTAGATTGCTAAATATGCTGTTTCCCACCTATGTGCAGAAGGTGCCAAGCAACCTCCCAGTCATTGGGTGGGAACTGAAACCCACAGACCCCAGTGGGCCGCATGGAAACGTCCAAGGAAGAGAGGACTAGCCAGGCATTGATCCTCACTCTGCTCTGCCAACTCAGTATAGAAGCCTGGGGGACAATGAGGACTGTGCAGCTGCCTCCTTAAATCCCACCAACGTCACGGTGACCTATCACTGAGCTAAGGAAGGTGCTGTAAGGGCCTCCTGAGTAACAGCTGAGACCTGGTACCCAAGTCCCCAGAAAGAACTTCTGACATTGCTTACAAAAGCCAGAAATCTCCAAATGTTACTTAAGTGCTAAAGAAATACAGTCAGGTGTGATGGCACATTGCTATGATGTCAGTACTCTAGAAGGCTGAGGCAGAAGGATCTCTCAAAATCAAGCCCAACCTGAGGAACTTAACAACTTATCACAACCCTGTTCCCAAACTTAAAAGGGAGGGGGATCTCAGTGCAAAGGTCCTGGGTTCAATCCCCAGTAAAGGAGGAAGAAAGATTAGGACATAAAGAACCTAGTACTCTTAAGAATATAAGCAATATTTTTCTGAAATAAGTATCATTCAAGTATCATTCCTATTTGAATTCCATAAGATTTATTTTTTCACACTGATTTGCCTTCTAGATTGTAGGGATCTAACACCTCTTTTTTTTTTTTAAACTAAGTCTCCAAATTCAGAGAAAGGCATTATTTTCCACCTGGCTAGGAGTACCGAAAAGAGAGAGTGCTGTGTAGGGAGTTTTCATGTTACTTGGGAATGCTTTGCAAAACTCAAACAGCACACTTGAATTTTATAAATGGAGAAAAATAATATTTTCACATATGGCGCCCTCTGCACATTTAAATATTACTTGGTCAGAATAATTTCCACTGAAATCTTAAGAGAATAACATGAAATAGTTGGCTCACATTATATAGGCAAGAGAAAGGACAAAGGGAGGTTACACACACACACAGGATTTGCAGGCCTACAACTGTGTCAACACTGAAACTCAAATTCTTTTCCGCAGGTTCTTTAGCAGAGATTATTAACATAGCAGCTCATAAACACAGAATCTAAAGAGCCCCCTCTCTCAGCAATTCTTGCTAGGCAGCTATATTTATCATCTCAGCAAATGTAATGCATTTTCACTGCTAATTTCCAGTCTTCAGAACCTGAAAGTCATTGGATGCAGGCATTCATCTTCTGCACCTTCCCCATGTCTCATTTCCCAACTCTGATCTGTCTCTTGTCATGAGATTGTTTGGCGTTTAAACCCAGATGGCCTGGCCTTTACCCGTATAGAGATGGATTCTCTCTCTACTTCCTCAGGACATGCTGCTCTGGTAACAGGTAATCATCTATCACTTGGAGCTTTGCATTTCACTGCCCTGATGCATTTCCAACAGAGTTTAGCAACCTGTGGTTTTTAACCAAAGTTTGCCAAAAGTGACTGGCATGTAAAACACTCTTCAGCAAAGACAGTGTTCTCTGAATCTATATTTCATCCTAGAAACTCTTATTCCTGTAACTTAGTCTCCTCCAATACTTATTAGATTTATTAACTATTAAGCTAAAATGACTTGAAACAAACTGAGTTATCTAAGCATTTGACAATCCAGTGTCACTCTTGAAGAATGACACTTTCTCTCCTTTCTAATTCAGGTTCCTTAATCAGAAAGGAAGGCTGTATTGGCGACCTGGGGTAAAGGCAAGGGAACTGGAGACAGAAATCCAAGATTACAGCTTGTCCCTGCATTTTCCTCTGTGGCTGTCATCTCTCTCCCCTTGTCACTACCTTAACGCTGACCTTTGCACCTGAATGTTATCTCACCCTTTTCCTGCAGAACTCAGAACACAGGACCAACACACAAAGTGTGGTGGTGACAGCCATTGGCAGGGACCTACACTGCAAGCTGTAATCCTCACAGACACAGTGGCATGAAAGTCCATCTTAGCTTTTTAGATGTCCAAGAGAAGAATTCCCAGCCTGAGAAACTGAAACCACCCAATCCATGAAACTCAGAAACTCAACTAAATTCAATGCACAAACTTATGATGAAAAACAATTTTTAGCCAGCTGATTATGTGATCATCCAGGACGCGTGGGCAGTCGCATTCCCCTGTACACTCACCAGGCACACACACATTATACACGGGTTGTCTGTGATGAACGGGATCTGGAGCTCCTCCCCTTCATTTTCACATTTTGCAACAGAACCTGAAATGAAGAAATTTTTAAAAATTTAAACCTCGTTCAGTGTGGTCTGACTACGAAATCTTCAAGTTTCACACAATCCCTTCTTGAAGCACCTACCCAAATTTCAGAAATGCTCATGAGTTTTTAAATCATGAAATTTATCAAAATACATCTCTCAAATCTGTTTTAAATATTTTTATTTTTAAAACTTTTTTTCTTTTTTCCTTTTTTTTTTTTTTTTTTTTTTTTTTTTTTTTGGTGCTGGGGATGGAACTCACCGAGACTTATGACACTGAGCTAAACTCCCAACCCTTAAAAAACTAATATAAGGATAGATGTTCCGTTTGCAGTTGGTTTAGGCACATTAGAAATAATCTTGAATGTTTAACAACGTCCCTCCTTTGGGGAGTCATCTCCACTACAAGCACATCCCCATACTAAAAAACACAGATTTGGCCATGATGCAGATTTCCCCAATGAGCAGAATTCTGGCACGCACCCCAGCATGGGCCTTTCCCAAGGCTCTGCCTCAGAGCCCACTCTGGGGTCACCTGCTGAGATGAAGCCCCCTCCTCTCTGGGACCCCGGACTCGAACTCTTCTCTTCTATACCAGGTGTCAGTGAAGTTTGTCCTCAGAACTGGGGCACAGGTCTTCGACCTCCCGAGCTGCGATCATCCATCCCGAGCCGCGCCCCGCCCGTCCCCGGCCCGCACCTCATATCCCCGCGGGAGCTGGCGCCTGGAAAGCATCGCCGGCGCCGGACGCCCCGAGACGCGAGGACTGAGCCGTGGGGACGCGGCCACTCCGCAGCCGCACTGGAGCGGCGCGGATGAACAGGAGGCTCCGGGAAACCAGTGAATAAGGGAACCTCAGTCCGAGAGCGGACCGCGTCCTCACTGCGCCGCGCGCCGGCCGGCACCGCACAGATCTTGCGCTGCCCCGCCGCCTCCGCCGCCTCCGTCCCGTGTCCCGACTCGGCCTCCCCTTCCGTCCCTCCTCCGGTCCCCTCCGTGCCGTCGGTGCCCTCAGTCCCTCTCGGTCCCCTCGGCCGCCCGTACCTGTCAGCAGCGAGGAGCCCAGGCCCCCGCGCAGCCCCGCGCAGCCCAGCAGCAGCAGCAGCAGCAGCAGCCGCGCGCCCCAGCTCGCCGCGCGCCCGCGCATCTCCACCTGAGTCCCCGCCGCGCCCGCCGCGAGTGGAGCCGCGCCGAGGGCGGGATGGGCGGGGCCGGAGGCCGAGGCGGCGCGGGGACCCCGGTCCCGCGGGCCGGTGGGGGCGCAGCCCACAGTGCGAGCTGCGGCGCGCTCGGTCGGGCGGCCGAGGCAGGCGCCTCCCTCCCAGGCTCGGCGGGCAGCGTGTCCACCGCCACCCTCCCCGCGGGCTTGGTAGGGACCGTGGCGGAGACCGGGCTGCGTGGCGCCACCTTTCGGGGCCGCGGGGGGCGTCCTGCGCAGACCTCGTCACCCTGAACGGGAACCGCCCCGCGTCCCCTGGGGTGGGCGCGCAAGGGCGCCACCCGCCGGGTCCTGAGGACCCAGGAGCACAGGGCTCGAGACCGAGCAGAGGGGCTCGGGAGCCCTGAGGTGAGCAGGAGGCTGCAGGCGCCCGCGTTTCCCTCTCAGAACAGTTCACTGAGAAACCTGAATTAAGATAGGTGATGTGGCCGCTTTCCCCACAGATAACACTGCGTCGGACAGAAGGCTCCTGGAGGGGAAACTGGAGGCTTTAATGCTCTCACTAACCACGCAAAGACAGCCTAAAAAGCGAAATAATCTTGAGGCCCAGTTTTTCTTCCCACAGTGAGTGATTAAAATAGAAATAAATAAAAGTTTTGGCTGTCACAGAGAAACACGGTCTGCTGAAGCCCCTAACCCTACCATCTGAAGACATCTTCTCTTCAATGGGTTTTCAGGTCACAATATTAACAGCGTCTTAAGGAAAGAAAACAACAATGGAGACGCAGATGCGGGAGGCCATGCGCTGACCCGGAAGGCGGGAGGTGTGCACGCATGCGCACTGCACACCTGCACGTGCTGATACACGCTCTGCCGCACGCTCTGGCGTTGCTTTGACGCCTTCCCTGAAATCAGGCCTGGTGGCCCCCGCAGTTTGCACTGCAGGTTTGTTCGCAATGAAGCCCAGATGTGTGGGGGTTTTGTATACTGGGTCCCATGGTGCCTTTGGGTGCAATGGAATTCTCCTTCGTGTAGGTGCAAATCCCGAAACCAGTTGGAAACATTCCCTTCTGCTTGGAAATCTGCAAAGTGAAGATGCACAGAAGCCTTGGGTGAGCCTGGCTCTTCTTGTTTGTTACAATCCAGTGCCACCTGTGATTTCCCTAGCTGCATTCTCCACAGATGGGTCCCACTTCTGCAAGAGCTCTCTCCCAAGGGCTCAGCACAGGGTCTGTCCCCAACATGTACTCTGCTGCAGCCATTCCTTCCAGGGACATCTTCAGCTGCCACTTGCTGTCTATCTGTGCAGAGCTTAGTTAGTCCCAGGTCAGACAGAAAAGAATCCGCCCTCACCAAAAGACACACAGATTCGCTGTCACATTCAGACCTGCCCAGTCAGTGTTTCAGAACCTCTTTTACAAAGGCCCTGTGATTGGCTCCCGGATAGAAGTAGAAATGATACTTTCACCTAGTTTTTTTTTTTTTTTTTTTTTTTTTGTGGGTGTGTGTGTGTCTTTTTCCTTTTTATTGGTACCAGGGATCGAACTCACGACCCCCTACTTGCAAGGCAGGCACTTATGCTGCTGAGCTAAATCCCCAGCCCCTCACCTAGTTTTCTAAAGTCCTCCAAAGTCCTAAATGGCCTTGCTGAAATCAAGAGGAAAAATGCGTGCTTGGCTCTGTTTATGACATCTTTCACGGGAAAGCAGGAAATGCAGCCTAAAAGGCCACTGTTGAACTGTATTTTTTTTTTTTTTTTGTCTTTTTCGTTTTTATTGGTACTGGGAATCGAACTCATGACTGACTGCCTGCTTATGAGGCAGGCGCTTATGCCACTGAGCTAAGTCCCCAGCCCCTAAAAAGCCAATGTTTAACTCAAGGCTAATGCTGGACTCAGGTAGACAAAGCACGGCCTCATCTTTGGTCTCCAAAATAAAATGTGTAACTGGAGCATACTGAAAGGCAGAGATGCCCATGGTCAGAGAAACTGTCCATCTCCTTTTGAATTCTCACTGCAAAACTCATCTAAGCATGCACCTTAGTGGATCCAACGTTATTCCCAGTGAATCACGTAGACCTGGATTCCCAAAATAGAAAAAAATGCTTGGGAAAAGACTGGGGAAAGGACCTGGGATACCTACCCCGTAGGCAGGGTGAAGGCATCCAGAAATATCTGATGGTTATACTCACAAAAGCACCAGACTGGCCTTTGGGCTGTCCAGAAATATCTGATGGTTATACTCACAAAAGCACCAGACTGGCCTTTGGGCTGGATTTTAGACTTGGTAAAGATAAAGGATTAAGCCACGGCCCACTCAGTGGGGTAAGGAGAAAGCAATCGAATTTAAATAACACTGTGCAAGGCAGGAAGTGACTGGAATAGGAGAGAGAGTGTGCCTGTCATGGAATTCCGGGAGATACCACACTTCCTGGAGGAGGTGATCCTGGCAGCTGAGCTTCCAAGGACAGAGGGCAATATGGGGACTGCAGGAAGCAGCAGTAGGGAGATGGGTTTCCCAAGCACAGCGTGGCAGTCACCTCTTGGGTTTACTGTTGGCTGAGCACTGCTGATGGAAGATTGGAGAGGGTTATAGAGAGCATGGCATAGATCAATCCCGGGGCACCAACGGGGGTTACTGTGGAGGAAGAGACTTATTTTTCTTGGGAATATCCGAACTACATCTCTTCAGAAGGGGAGCTATTTCTGTAGTCATTTTCAGCCAGCTAGACTTCTGGTGAGCTATGACCTTGGAGCACCTGTATGAGAGACTTGGATGAGGAGTGGATCACGCCCAGTCAGTGTTTCAGAACTTCTTAGGGTTCTGTGATTGGCTCCAGGACAAAAGTAGAAATTCTACTTTCACCTAGTTTTCTAAAACCACTGCAGATCTTAGAGCACAGCAACCTGTGCCCTGCCTTTCCCTTTAAAAGTGAAAAGTCTGGCCAAGCATGGTGGCATACACCTGTAATCCCAGCACTCAGGAGGCTGAGTAGGAGAATCACCAGTCCTTCAAGGCCAGCCTGGGTTACCTAGTGAGTTTAAGGCCAGCCTTAACTACATAGTGAGACTCTGTCTCAAAAAATTAAACAACTTAAAAAAAAAAAAAAAAAACAAAACTCTAAGTACCCCATGGGCCCAGGGTCATATGGAGAGTTGGTGGCAGTGACCACTGGAGCAGTCCCCTCACTCCCAATCATCCCACTGTCTGTGACCAGTGCTCTACCTTCTTGGGTCATGCATCATCAGAATTATAGGCAACCCTGCATATTTTAGATATGATGCAAATTATGTCACAGAATTGGGACAATGGTGACTGGAATATTTATTGAATTGTGCTAGGACCAGCCACCCAAATCACAACACTATAAAAAGCAGGCTGCAGTTTAGCTCACAGTTGAGCAGTGAGTTTATTCTTAGTCACTAAGCTGAAACAGTGAGGGACTGCTATCCTCAGGGATTTGCTCTTAGCCTGCCAATGTTTCCTCTTTCAGAGACAGCGGGCACCACAGAGGCTACCAGGAAGCCCTCTGGGTCCACAGGGCCTCGAGGGTCTCTCCAAAAACTCAGAGGCTCTAACGTTGCTCTTTTGGGGATGCAGAGTAAACAGGACAGATGACAAAAGCATTGCTTCAATGACTCAGCCTCACTGATACGTGATCATTTTCAAAGTTGGATGATTACATTACTGACCTGATATTTCCCCTAGATTAATTTTCCTTATCTTCTGTAATCTTGAGTTTCTTTTCATAGCCTGAGAAGCTGAGCACTTTCTAAAGGTGGCCTGCCCTTTACCTCTTCAGTGGGCCTGTCTCCCTCTAGGCCCTTTCTAGTCCCCATCTCCAGGACACAGCACTTGTTCATTTAAATGTGCATGAGCCAAAACACGCAGGCTGGGGGGCACAGACTGTATGGTAAGACAGTCCTGCAACTAAAACAAAGATGTCTGGAGTTTCCATGGAAACATCTGAAATATTTCCCATACTGCTTGACTGGTAGAAGCGCTGTGATTAAAGTGAGTGGCTCTGATCTTAGAAATGATGGGACAAGACTCCCCACTGGACAGGCATCAATAATCCTCTCTCTTGGGGAAGGGTGCTGAATCAGATGTGCGCTCCTGGGACATGACTATGGCAGAGACCGAATCTGCTCATTAAGCGCCTCAGCAGTGGAAACCATTCATTGCAGGCCTTCTTACAGACAGGTGTGATCCCGTGACCATTTTCTGGCTGATGGAACAGAAATGGAAGGTGTCCTTAAAGAGGGACACATTCATCCTTCTTTCTTTCCTCTTTTCTGTTGGCTGGAATACAGATACGATGATGTAGTAAAGTTCCAGCAACCACTCTGTGCCATGAGGAAACCTTGGGAAGAAAACCTGGAGGCTCTGGAAGCGGAGAAGAGGAAAGTTCTGACTCCACGATCCTCATAGGCTGCCTGCCCTGGCTTTCCTGAACATAGAAGGAAAGCACAGGAAAGCAATGCCTGTCTCCCCACGCCCACCCCTACCTTCGTAGTTAGTTAGGGAGTCTTTCCTTGTTGCTTGTAACTAACCCTGAAATCTTCTGAAAATCTTGGCATATCCTGAAGACACAGGGTAAGTCCATGACAAATAACACATTTGTGTATTTATTCAGATTAGAAGTACTTTCAGAGCCAAGGAACTGACCTAGGGTCTCAACTGACGGTAGCCCCTATGTGTATCTTGTGTGACTTACCTGTAACAAATGAAACTGGTACATTAACGTAAGAGATAATTTGAGTGATTTCCCTTGAATACAGAACAGTTGCTTCAGCATTGGTTAAATGGATTCTTGTCTCCATGCACTGGTATGTACAGAGCTAGCTGTGGTATTTCCTTCTCTCTACAATTGGCTCAGAGCAATACAAATAAGGCCAGCTGAAGTACTCATATATAATCTTTAAGGCCAACTGGACAGTTGCCTCCCATTGTGTATCCTGTCAATCAGTTAAACACAGAGGAATGGCAGAGCCAGTCAGCTCCAGGAACATCAACTTGGTACAAGCCTTGAAATATAGAGATTATGAATCCCCAGAGCACAAAGTTTATGTACCAGAAACTGAAGCAATAGCCTCCTAAATTCATTCATGTGCTATCCCAGTCTGAGATATGCAGACTGGTCTTGTATATCTCTATCTTGCAGTTTGCAAATATGCTTTTATCCCCACCTGGTTAGCCAGCTCAAACTACTTACATAGCTCCTGCCATCCTCACTGTCACTCATTCTTAAACCACTCCC